CTACGTGGGGAATAAGTTCCATGTAAGTTATCTGATCGTTTAAAGGGCCAGTTCAGCAGCACAGCTCCCAATAAATGGGGTTGGATTCCAGCCACAGCGTTTCAGAAGGACGAGCTGCCGTTAGCTTACCTTGGCTACTTTGTGATTGGCCGCCGTCTCATGTGACGTGTTCTTCAGCCCCTCTTTAAGCTGGCTGATAAACTGCTCGTAGCCCTCAGTGCTGGACACATCGATCTTCTCCTGACAAGCTGACAGCATCTGCTGGGCCTAAAAAACAAGCAAACACAAAAACTTTCAGTTCCACCACCCAACCTTTAAAAACTTTAGCAACAAGAAACCTGCCCGCTTTTCTCTTTTCTGGTTATGCAATGAAATAAGTTCCTTCTTTGTCCCTTTTTAAGCGGAAAACATCAGATTTGAATCCAAGGAGCTGGTGAAGATTCTCAGTCATCCAGGTCATAGTCATTCCAAAAAAGTCCAGCGGATTGCTTTTCTTTTTTTTTTTTTACTTTTTTGGAATCCAAGGAGAAAATATCTAAATTATAGACGGAGCTGTAGGGCCATACGGAGCCTTTATGTTTTAAACACAGAGAATAAGGCCATCGTGATATCAGACGGCCTCTTTGGTTTATTTTTCCATCAGAGTTTCCAACATCAAAGCAGGATATTTGAAGTGGATCCCCCTGAAAGTCCGAGTTCAGAGTCAGAGAGCTAAGCCAACACAACCTAATCAAACATTTGCCTTTATTGGTTAATGAACCTAGAATCTAGAATAAAAGGATCTCATTGATCGACGAATCAATGTGCTAAAATCAGGAGTTTCCTCTTTCATCAAGAGGATCTTTCCATAACAAGAAGGGCTTATTATTTTCTTAGAAAATGTTTAAGGCTACGTTCATGGAGCAGCCTGAAGTGACCCAAATCTGACTTTTTTTACCCATATGCGACCTGGATCCGATCTTTTCATGAGTCTGAACAACTCAGATCTGATTTTTTTCCCAATGCGATGCAGGCCCTGAATCTGATATTATCAAATGCGACCTGTGTCTGAACAGAAAGCAGCATGACGCGCGTGCTGCTTCATTTTTGATGTTTGTATAAGTTTAGTTCTGACGCGCGGCTGAAGCATCTTTGCTGCTCCAGCTGCGCGCTGAAAAGCGGGTCTGATGCACGTTGGGTGGAGCTACCCTATCCTTTCTTTGCCTGTTACAATGGCAGCTATGTTTGCTGTGATCAGTAGGTAAAAAGTAGTTTTAATGCTTTTAAGTGAGAAAGTCCTGAAAGTATCATCTTTGCAGTCAGTTCCTCCAGTTCAGCGGTCCCCAACCTTTTTTGCACCACGGACCGCTGTATGTCAGATAGGGGTGTAAATCACATCCATCATGGCGATTCGATTCAGTATCGATTTCCTGACCCAACAATTCGATTATTTTCGATACTCAAGAATACACCACGATTCGATGAATCGATCAAATTTTTTTTACACCTTACAGGCTAAACAAAGTTTAAAGTTTGAAATAAATCAATGAAAGCTGTAATATCGTTATGCATTTTTTTTTTAGAAACAACAGCAAATAACAGAAGTAGAAAAGTTGCATCAAAAAATACTGCAAAAATACTGCATTTGGCATAAAATCAAATACAAACAGCATAAAAATAAAACAAGCCGGTCCCATCTAGGCGTAATCGGAGACAATGACACACGAAGTGCGCTCCTGATGTCCAGTCTGCTCCGTAGCTTTGTTTTGGTCGCTGTAACTGCAGAAAATCCCGCTTCACAAAGATAGGATGTTATAGATAGGATGCGTCTTGAGCTGATTTAACCTGTGTCAAGAGGCACAGATGCAC